GGAAACACTCACGGGGTCTCTTGCAAATGGCGCTCGATGTCTTGAGCTGCCCAGGCCAGTCAAAATTTTTCTAACAAATGTTTCTTGTCACATGAGCTGGCAAATGTTCAAAATATTCACAGCAACATCAGTTGATTTTGAGAGGGCCTTTAGCTTTGGCCGCGGTTACGTCTCTCAAAGAAGACACAGGCTCTCTGCTTGATCATTGAGCAGAGGTATGGCTGTGGCCTTCTATTCAAAAAATGGGATGATTCAAGATGAGGTCTTGCACAAATGGAAGCGTGGGATTCAGGCCGACAAGAAGATCAATTCAAAGGAGAAGGGTAAAAAGAAGTTAATAGTTGTAGATGAAGATTGAAACTTTTAGGAAGAAAGATATGAAGATTGAAATATATAGGGTGCATGATAGTTAGGAAAATTACGTGTATTTTGAGAGCAAGTGCAGGAGGTGTACTGCCGGTACACTCCCCAGGTACCGCTGGCACCCGCCTGGCGGGTGCAGATGCGGTACAGGTGCCCACTTTTTGAGAAAAAATGGTCAGGTGCCCGCACCCGCAGAGGGTACCTGGGTACCGGATGCCATCTTTAGCCACATCTACCTGCTTGCTTGGAAGGGAGCCATAAGCTATTGTCATTCCACGTTGGACATGTTTCCAGTCCCTCTCTAGGGCATTCACAAAAGCAAAGAGTTCAATCAACCCAATGTAGTGTGCCAAATGTGTTTCAAGTACCAAATTGCATAAAGTCACAATCAACTCTTAACAATAGGCTATATTCTTGGTTTTATTATTACTTAAATAGATTCTGCAGGTCATTTAACCCATAGTCACTCACTGGAACCACTAGGCTAGCTCCACTCAGTCAGAAGTTATTTGGATGTTAATGTTATGATTGAACATTAGTACTTAGTATAGTAGTATATGGCTAGTGCATAGTATAGCTTTAGATTAGAGATGTCGCTCGATACCCGGGTACCTGTAGCGGGTGCGGATACCTGCCTCAAAAACCCAATATTTTTGACACCCGCACCCGCACCCGCACCTGCTAGGGCAGCCAGGGTGGGTACCCGGGTACCTGCGCCGGGTACCTGCAGGTACCTGGCACATTTTTGCAGGCAAATATACCCAGAAATCTCACCCATTAATTTCTGCATGACTTGGTAAATATAAGATTGATATTCACTAGATATATGAGTAAGAATAAAATAAAAATAAAGAAATAAAGAAAAACAAATTATTCCATCACCAATTTGAACTTTATCTTTGCTCTGATCTATCTTTAGCTTTGCCCTTTTGCTTGGCCTCATTTGCCTTATTCAATGTCCATTGATGAAGACTGTACACCGTCTTTATGACTGGAGGAATTCCTCCAGTCATCAAGACTGTACACCATCTCAAAGGCCGGAGGGAACCCTCCAGCCTCAACAAAGCAACCAGATTAGTTCAGCAACACATGTAAGACACCAGCTGGTGTCCTACATGGGTTGCTGACACCTTTTTGCAGCCCAACACACCCAAAAAAGGGAGTTTTGGACCACCAATGATAAATTAAATTCTTCAGGGGAAGCATTCCCAGGGCGGGTGTAAGGCGGGTACCCGGGTACCTGCCTTTTTTTACCGCAAATGTTGACACCCGCACCCGCACCCGGTACCTGTTTCCGGGTACCTGCTTCGGAAAACAGGTACCTGCAAACAGGTACCTGCTGACATCTCTACTTTAGATACAACTACATAACTATATCTCATTTTGATATAGTGTCACATGGCTTATTGCATGTTTGGTCACATGGCTTATTGCATGTTTGGTCACATGGTTGATCACATGTTTGGTCACATGACATCATCAGTTGCCTAAACCACTAGCAGAAATAACTCAATAGAAGATTCTGTGCAGCAGAAATCACTCAATAGAAGTTTTCTTACAGCAGAAATCCCTCAAATGGGAAGTCACACCAGCAGAAATCCCTCACAAGACTTACCCACCAGCCAAAATCCCTCACAATTTACTATATAAGGAGGCCCTTCAGCCCCCAAGTTTTATCTCCCCCCCCCATCATCACACAGCCTGGCCAGCTGGTGTTCATCACCCCCCCCCCTTCACCAGCACCTGTGATCTTAATCAGGTTTTTTGAATAGCTTGTGTTATTGCATGTCATCCATATCAGTTGATCTAGGTCTGATAGAGACTACCACATAAAGTTTTCTCTATCATAGGTTTTGCCACAACAATTAAATAAATTTGTTGTCAGAATTATTGTGTAGTATAATAGAGGGGCAGGTCTTTCAAACCACCCGTAACAGTACTAATAGCTTCATACATACCTGAAATATTATAGCTGCTATTTCCCCCTTGCAAGACTGCCACCATTCCCAA